TCACCACCAGGTAGCACCTCTTTCCAGGTCTCGCTTTTGGTGGCGCCCACATCCCGGTCCCCCTTCCGCCCCACGCCCGGTAGCGCCCGCCTCAGTCTCCCCGTGCAGCAGAGCCCGCTCGGCAGCCTCCGCTGGGTAGCAGCCCTTCTCCCCGGAGCCCCCTCTGTCGCCCCTTGGTAGCGCCACCCCGGGCCTCCCCGCGCCGGGTCACTTGGTAGTGCCTGCCCCGCGCCCAGGCTGCCGCTCCGCGTTGCCATGGTTCCGCGCGGGCCTGGCACCCCCGGCCTGGGCCGCTGTCCACCCTCCCTCGCCGCGTCCGGGCCGGGCGCACCTTTGAAGTAGTCGTTGGCCTGCGTCTTGAGCTCCTCTGCCCGCTTCAGAGCGCCATCAGCCGGGGGCTCATCCCGGGCGGGCTCAGCACACTCAGTCCGCTCGCCCTCCGCCATCGCCATGCCGCAAAGCGACCCCCACCCTGGCAACGGCCGCTAGCGGCGCCCGGCCGAACCGTCGCGAAGGAGCGCCGAGTGACCGCCGCCGCTGCCGCACAAGTGTCGTAAAGCGCGGGCCCCGAAGGCGCCCTTGGCGCGCCTGCGCAGGATCCCCCTCGCCATAGAGCGCGCGGAGGACAAGGTGACCAGAGGGTCCCCAGACAGCGCCCCTTGTAGGATGAGCCAATGAGGAAAGCGAAAGGGGCGCGCGGGGAAAAAAGGCCCGGCGTGGCCCCTGCTCCCAAGGTTACCGTGTTCCGGGGCCGCCAAAGTTTCTTGGGTCTTAAGGACCCCGCGGTCCTTTCGGGTTGACGGGTGGGTGGCAGAAGCAGGTGGCAGGTGGGGGCTGCCATTCCAGGCAGCGGAGCCAGACCCGGGCGTCCAGCCACCGCCAATTCTTGTGTGACCTTGAACAAATCTGCCCCCGGCCCCCCGCCCCTCCTAGTGCCTCAGTGACCCCTCCGGAAAATGGGTGCTTCCCAAAGTCCCAACCTCGCGGCTCGGGGGTTCTGATTGTTAACTGAGGACACCCCGAGCCCCAAGGAGCCTCGTTTGTCGCACTGTGTTCGTTCCCTTCTGTGTATTCGGCTCCCCAGGTCCTGCTGAATCTTGGTGGTGACCGTCGCCCGTCGGTGGTCGCTTCCTCTCCCCCCCTATGGCCGCCGCGGGGGCCTCCTAAATCGCTGTAAACCTGGACCACACCCCTCAGCCTTCCATCGCTCCCCAGGGGGGTCTCAGGAGAAGACCCTGGAGACCCTCGACTGTCCAGCCTCAGGCAAACTCTCCGGGTCCCGCCCCCTCGGAGCCCTGCACGTTTTATCTTCTGTGCAGCTTTTCCAAACCCAGGGCCTCCACGCAAACGGGGGCACCACGTCCTTTAAGGCTCTGCTGTCGTTCCCCACTTGGAAGCATCATCTATCCCACCCAACCTCTTGTCCCATCATCTGGCCCACCTTTCCCACCACCGCCAGCAGTCACCCTAGAAGGTAGGTGCTAACGTCATCTTCATTTGACACATGGTGGTTTGCAGGGATCAACCTACTTAGGCAAGGTCACACTGAGAAGAGACAGGCAGGATTTAAACCCATCTCGTCAAATTCCTGTGCTCTTAATTTCTGCTCTACTGTAGGTACCAGAGCCAGCCTTGTGTGTTCCTGAGTTTTTCTTTTCTTTTTTGGGGGGAGGGGTGTTCTGCCCTAATCCAGCTCAGGCTGGATTCACACAGTTAAGGCTGTGTGACCTTGGGCAAGTGATCACCCTCTCTGAACCCATTTGATGGGGTCCAGTGGGGCTAGTAATGGTGCCCATCACACAGGATTAGAGGAAGTTTTATAAGATCACATGAGCACAGTATTTGGTTGAGGGACTGAAACAGACTAAGTACTTTTTATATTTACTCCATCGCAAAGGACAGTGCCTAGTGCTACAATGCGGGGTGGGGGTAGAGGATCTAGGAGGACCTTGTCCAGCTGGACAGGCAGAGAAGGCTTTCTGGAGGAGGGGTGCCTTAACCAGGATCTGAGGGGAGGAAGGCATTTGAAGCACCCCGGGGGGGGGGGGGGTAGGGGGCAAGTACAAGGCTCAAAAGGGGTTTCCTTCCCTTGAAAAGATGGAACATGGAACACAGGAGAGCGATATGGGGGTGACAGCAGAGAGACGCGACAGAACAGACACTTCTTCCCACACACGGATCTGCAGACACAGTCGCTCTCGAGCGCATACGCGCTCACTGGAGTACAGAGAATCATGTTACAGACACACATTGGTCCCTGGAACTAGTGTCAAACAGCCCCACGCATGCACACAGCAACACACACACACACACACACACAGAGTGAATCATCTCCCCCAGAGACTCACCTACAGGTAGAAGGAATGACACCCCCATCACAGGCTCACAGAAGTATGTCACCAAGATTCACACGTGCATAGAGGATGACACCACCAGGCACACACATTGAGACCCACGGAGGAGCTCGGGCCCCTTCACACACACACACACACAGGATCAGAAAGTGAGGCGGACACCCAGCCTCCCCCCGAAGCCACCCCACAGATGACTCAGTGCACAGAGCTGTGGTGCCCACCAAGGCGAGGTCTTTATGTGGTTGCAGGGACATCAGTGGGTTCCAGAGTCTCTTCCCTTCCCCTAGCCCAACACAGCCCTCCATGGAGGGCTCGGGTCACCCCCTGAGAGGGGAGGGTCCGACCTGTCAGATCCTTTCCCCTCATAGCACCGGTCTGGACAGGCCACTCCCTGACAGAGAAGTGGGCAGTGCCTTCCAAAGAGGGGGTGAGAGGGGCTGAGTGTGGGGGCTTCCTGTGGAGAGTAAGAGTAGCACCATTGTGAAGGGAGCTGGGGGGACAGGAGGGCACGCAGCTGTGGTGGAGAGCTGAGGAGTCCCGGCCTCCCTCCCCTCCACCTATGCAGACAGGGCTGTGCGCAGGCCTGCGGCTGGGGAAGGCTCTGGGGGCCCCCAGGCGCCTGGGATGAAGCTAGGTAAGTGCTATCTGGAGGGCTGGGTAGGGAGGGGAGGGCTTCTAGGACAGGGAGACCTCAGGAGGTGAGGCTGAGAGGCCTGAGCGTGAAGTTCATGAGCAGAGGTCCCGGAGGGTGGAGACCTGGGAGGCAAGACTGGAGACCAGGGTGGGTTGGTGCAAGTTCAGGGGCCGCGGTAGGGGTGGGGTCTGGAATGAGAGTCAGGGCTTGTGAGATCCGAGGTCAGAGCAGTCCACGGGGCAAAGCTAGATTCTAGAATCAGATTCTAGAAGCACGTGGAGGCTGAGTTCCAGAAACTGAGGAATTTGAGTCTGAAATCAGAGGCAGTTCGAAGCTGTAGCCTAGAACCACAAGAATTTATAGAGTGATGAGAGAATTAGCAAGTGTCCCCAGACCAAGTTCCCGAACATAGGGATTGTGGAATCCTAAGATCCAGAATCAGGAGGAGGTGGGATTATAAGGGCCAGAACCACAGAAATCTATGAGGCAAAGGCCTATAATCGGATCTTTGAAGGTGAGTTCTAGACCCAGGGTTATGTGGAGCCACGTGATCCAGAGGGGGAGCTGGAAGACATGCTGTCTAGAACCAAGGGAACGCAGGGGCCGCAGTCTAGAATGAGAAGACAGGCATAGCTCCGTTCTAGAACCAGAGAGGTCACAGGCAATGATCCGGGATCAGAAGACCCTGACGGTTGCAAGGTCAAGAGGTTGTACAGTCTGGAACCAGTAAATGGCGGAGGTCACGAGGTCTAGAACCTGAGAAAACTGGCACGCGGTATCTGGCTCTGGACAGCCGGCACCAGATCAAGACACACACTCACTGACTTCTCTTAGGGGAAAGTCAGTCTTGAGTGTAGAGAGGCGAAGAGGAATGAGCTGTGTCCACGAGGTTTGGAACTAAGATGATTTAGAAGTTAGGAGGCCGAGATTTGGAACCCAGTGTATTTCAGATCAGGAAAAACTAGAACCAAGGAAGCCTGCACTCGTGGGGTCCACAACCCAGGAAGGCTGGGTATGGTGGCTCCCAGTGGCTTAGGAGGCTGAGGCAGGAGGACTGCAAGTTCAAAGCCAGCCTCAGCATCTTAGCAAGGCCCTGTCTCTAAATAAAAAATAAAAAGGGCTGGATGTGGCTCAGTGGTTAAGTGCTCCTGGTTCCATCCCCTGGGCCTGAAACCAAACGAAAAACTAAAAGAGGGAGTTAGGGAATGAGTTCTAGAACCAGCGGTGCTCACGGGCTTGAAGCTGGAGGGAGTCGGAGGTTGTGTGACCCGGAACATTTCTCTGGAGATGGGGAGGCTTCAACACAGGCAGCATCAGGAAGTTGTGAGTTTAGAACGAGAAAGAGCCAAAGGCTGTGAGATCTGGAATCAGGGGTCTGGGGCTGTTGGGGTCCACCACAGACCATGCTCGAGGGCCAGGGGAGGCCGGAGGCTGCAGCCCAGGGCCAGGGGAGGCCGGAGGCTACACCATCTGGAAGCAGAGAAAGTTCCGGGCTCCCCCTGAAGTAGGAAGACGGCGAGTGGAATCATTGTGCGGCAGGGCTGGGGGGCAGCTTGGGAGGTCGAGGTCCCTGGACGCAAGGTCTGACCCAGAGCTTCCCACCCGCTGAGGCCCGAGGAGCGGGGACAATCAGAGGCCCACATTCTTACGGACCCCGGGCAATTCATAGTGATCAAAAACCATATCATGAAAACACAAAAATCAAAACAATAATAAAGGAAGGACAGAAAGAGACGCTCCCGGACCGGGCCCTCCCAGCCGATCCCAGAGTGAGCCTGAGTTCCGCGGGGAGTGAGGTAACCAGGAGTCCTGAGAGGAGAGGAGGGGGCCGAGTCCCCCAGAGGTCATTGAGCGAGACCCCCGGGCCCCAGACGGCGCGGGCCAGGGGTGGGGCTGAGGTAGGCCCGAGGCTGGGGGGGCACTCGGGACGGAGGCCCCCTCCTTGCGCTGCTGCAGGCTTGGAGTGTGGCTGAGGTCCCTTCCGGGTGGGAGGCGGAGGCGGGAGCGGCGGCTCAGCGGGTCTGGGCCAATCCTGCCGCTGCCTGGAAGTGGCTCCTGGGCTGGACAGGATCCTGGCCTGGACAGAGAGGGAGCAGCGAGGGGCCCAGGCCTGTGGGGAGACAGGGAGTCAGGGGCAGAGCCCTCAGACCTGCCTCCCTCCCGGGAGTTCAGTGCAGGGGGGAGGCTGCCCCGTTGGGCCTCCAGCAGCAGCAAACCCGCTGTGTGGCTGGGGTGCGGCTCAGTGGTGCAGCTCCGGCCTAGGGAGACCCTGGGTCTGACCCTCAGCACAAACAAGAGACCCCTGATCTTGTCCTGATTTGATTCCAGGTGTTGCTACTTACTTGCTGGGTGACCTGGGGCAGATGACTTCACCTCTCTGGGCCTCAGTCCTGTCATCTATAAAATGGGCTAATAATAGACACCTTCCCAGGACTGCTGCAGGGTGTCATCGAGTAAAGCCACATAAAGTGCTGTGAGCGATAACCGATGTGTGTTACCTGGGAAACGGGGATAGTCATACTGGACTCAAGCATGAGAGCTACTCGTCCAAAACATATTTACTGAGCACCTACTAGGTGCCAGGCCCATGCCTGGTGGAGGAGCAAAGCTCCCTGCCCGGCTGGGGCTGATGCTCCAGGGCGGTGGCCGTACACACACGACTTAGCACAAAGCTCGGCCCAGAGTGAGTGCTCAGCCACAGCCAAGCCCTGCACACAGAACAGCACGGCAGTGACCAAGACAGCCCTGGCCCTGCCCTTGTGGGCACAGACTCACAGGGAAAAGACGGCCTATGGCCAAACAAGGACACACATGCCAGTGTGATAAGGGGCGTTCAAGGACGTGAGCTCCTGAGGCCATGCAGGGCTTCAAGGAAGGGGTGACATTTACCTCATCTACAGGTATAGTAACTAGGCAAAGAATGCTGGGAAGAGCCTTCCTGGCAGAGGGATCAGGATGTGCAAAGGCCCTGAGGTAGCTTCTGGAGGAAGAGAACTCTAAAGTCATAGTGTCCTACAGAGGCCCCATGCAATCCGTCCCTCACCTTTCTCTGCCTCAGCCACATCAGCCTGCTTTTCCCCAAATAAGAGAGAGACGCTCCCACCTGGGACCTTTGCAACTTCTTATTCCCTTTTCTGGGACATTCTTCCCCCAGAAATCTTCAGGGTTCACTCCTGCAGGTCTCTGCTCAACTCTCTCCTTCTCAGTGAGGCCAGCTCTGATCTAAGCCCCGGCCCACCCACAACGCTCTTTCCCCTGCACGAATATTTCCCCAGTGGCGCTCGTTTTCCTCTCTTACGCTTTTTAAACTTTGAGACTGGGTCTCACTCAGTTGCCAGGCTGGCCTCAGACCTGCCATCCTCCTGCCCCAGCCTCGCTGGGATTTCAGATGAGCCGCACGCCTGGCTGCGCTTCCCTTTGTACTGCATTTACTTCTTCCTTATGGTCTCTCTCACTGGAAATCCAGCGCCAGGAAGGCTGGGGTTCCGCCTGCTTCAGCCAGTGTCTCTCTAGCACCTGGGACAGCGCTGGCACCCGCTGTGTGTGCATGAGGGAGAGTCGGTCAAGCCAGGTGAGGTGGTGGCACCCCTGTAACCCAGGGACTGGGCGGCTGGGCAGGAGGAGCACAAGTTGGAGGCCAGTCTGGGCAGCCGAGCAAGACCCCGTCTCAAAATAAATAAATAAATAAATAAGAGGCTGAGGGTGTGGTTCAGCTGTTGGGGCACCTCTGGGTTCAAACAGAGGGAGGAGAGTAGAATGAAGACAGTGGAAGTGGCCGAGGAGGGACACAGAGCAGGGTGTGGCCTGAGACGAGGCTCTGCCAGGCCCTGAGGGATGGGAGCCCGAAGTGGGAAGCTTCCTCTTTTTCTGAGAGGCTCTAGAAGGGTTTTGAGCAGGTTTTGAGCCAGGGCCACATTGATGCTTTGGAAACACCCCTCGGGCTGATGCCTGGAGATGTCAGGTGAAGCTCAGCCTTTTTTTTTTTTTTTTAATTTTTTTTAGTTGTCAGTGGACCTTTATTTATTCATATGTGGTGCTGAGAATCGAACCCGGGGCCTCACACCCGCTAGGCCAGCGCTCTGCCCAGCTCCGCCCCAGCCCCAGCCCCAGCCTGGAGCTCGGCTTTTGTTAATGGGAGTGGGAAGCGATAATAGCACCACCAACTAGTGTCTCACTCCTGGAGAGGCTGCGGGCCCAGCATCTCCACCAAGGCCAACAGGGGACCCTGCCTGAGCGCTTACTGCGTGGCAGGTCTTGTGTGCAGCTCTGCTGGGACTCGTCCCCAGGAGTCCTCAAAACCTGTCCTTCAGGTGAGAACCGTAGCCACAGGCCCCACCTGACAGACGGCAAACCAAAGCTTCCCCAACCCACAGGCCAGGTGTGGCCAGGGGACCCGGCTTGGACCCGGCCTGATTCCGACTCCAAGGGGCAAGGCTGCCCCCTCAGGGTCTCCTCGCCACCATGGCCCAGGAGAAGAGGAAGGGGCAGCCTCTGCCATGGAGATCACCTCCGGCCATGACAGTCCCCGCCACCCATCCAGCAGGAGAGGGACCCAGGGCTCTGCACTCCCAGGTCGCAACTCACCCCAGGGCTCGTTCACGTCCAGGAGGCGGCTGCTGGGATCCTGCTGGCTCCCCGGGGCTGCTCCTCCTGTCAGAAGGAAGCTCTGAGGGAGAGACAAAGTGGCCACCGTCACCACCATCACCACCCTCACCACCCCACCCCCATCGATGTCCAAGGGGGCAGGTGGCACAGTGGTAGTTACGGCCACTCCTGGGGTCCAGTGGCTACCTGTCACTGTGTGACTGTGGGCAAGTCACTGTCCCAGACACCTCTGTTTCCCTAGAGCCTCATTTTCTCCCTTCTCCCCCCACTTCCGGCCCTGGGAGGCGGCTCTGTGGGTGGCGTCCTCCTTGCTGTGGTTCCTGGGCTCAGCTGCCAGGAGGTGGGGGTGGGAGGGGGGACTGCTCTAGTTGCTCCCCTACTGGGTCGCTGTGGGTTGGCTGTGCCCTCCGTGGAAGGTTCCAGATCTGTTAAGGCTCCCTGTTCTCCCCAGGACCCAGAGGTCACCCCTGTCACCTTGTGGCCAGGGTTAGTGCTGCACCAGCTGGGTTTCCCTGCACCCTGGCCGTCCCCTGTGAGTTAGTTTCCTGCCTAGATTCCGACGAGGAAGGGGTTGGCCCTCATGTGTACAAATGGGCATCATGACGACGACACTCCAAGAGTGGTCCCGGGACTAGGTAAGTTAACCATGCAAGGCATGGTGAGTCATCAGCTGCGCATAGTAGGCACTCAATAAATGGAAGCTCTAGATAATGTCCTCCACACCCCTCAAGTTCAAAAAGCCCTCTGTAGATCAAGGGGCAAGAGAGCTCTTCTCTGGGCACCATGGAAGGTCCTGGAGGGAGCCTTGTGGAAGGGACACAGTGCAGGCTGGCTTTTAGAAAGGACACCCTGTTTGCTTTTGTGCAGTATGGACAGCAGGGTGAGGCTGGAGGCAAGGAGACTGGAGGGGAGGCTGCTTGGTTTAGTTGAGTTGGGCATACATCAGCGACCGCCCAGTCATCTGGGGGCCTGATCTCACCGAGTCCCCACGACATCCTGTGAAATGTAATCAGTGCCATTTGCCAAAGGAGGAAACTGAGGGTCAGGGTGGTAACACGACCTGCCCAAGTTCTTGGGCAGATCTGGGGCCTGAAGCCAGTCTGGCTCTAAGGTTTATACGTTCAGCCCCACACTGGGAATCCAAGGCCGGGCCCGTTCCTGTCTTGGGAGGGTCCCCTGCTGGTGCTGGCCACCCGCACCTCTCCCCTCAACCTGCTCACGTTTCTTCGTGGCACTAATCATGGATTGGCAATGCCTTCGCATACCCATGAGCAGAACTAGAAGATCAAGGTCCTGGTTCAGCGGGACCGTTGATCTTGCGTTTGACCTTCAGCCGGCCCCTGGCCCTCTCTGGTTTGCCCATCTATAAAACAGGAGGTTTGAGCCTGCTGGCTCCGAGGGGGGGAACCCCACCAGCCCCAAACATACCAGGCTGAGGGGAGGCAGCAGGAAGCTTTCGGGCTCTAGGCTGGGGGGCCGCTTGGGGGGTCTCACTCCCAGCAGCTCCACCCCCTCGTCCACTGGGCTGTGGGCCAGGGCCCTGGGGAACAACAGGCAAGACTCAGAACACAACAGACCCGGGGCAGGGGCTGCACCTGTGCCCCCAAACTCATGCCACGCACCGGCCCAGCGACCCATCAGCTGCCCACCCAGCCAACTCCTCGCCATTGTCCCCACCCGCATCCACCCACCCACTTGTCCATCTGTCCACCTACCCACATGCTCATTAATTACCCCCTTCTTTCATTTAATAAGTCTTTATTAGGCACCTGCTGTATAACCAACCCCAAGCTGGGAGCCTTGGGCAACATGGAGATGTATCCATAAAAGTCTCACAAGGATAGAAAAGGGACCTCTCTGGAGACCAAACAGGCAACGGCTGCCACTTGGGACAGCGGAGACTAGTAATCTAAGGTCGTTCGTTGGAGGGGGACCCGACAACATTTTGTGTGGGTGTACATTTTCTTAGGAAGGGAGTCTACAGCTTTCAACAGGTTCTGGGGCTGGGGATGCGGTTCCCCCCAGCACCACACACACAGGTCACCTCACCAGCTCCCACAGGTGTTGGGAGACAGTTCTAGGCACTGCTGGCTACCACAGCAACGCCTCCCTGCCCCGCGGATGAATCCGGTGGTGCTTCACCACTGAGCTACACGACCCCAGGCCTTTTGAGGCAGGGTCCCACTAAGTTGCTTAGGGCCTCGATAATTTGCTAAGGCTGGCCTCCAACTTGAGATCCTCCTGCCTCAGTCTCCCAAGCTGCTGGGATCACAGGTGTGCACCACCTGTTACTGTGAGAGAAACTGTCACCGAGTCGGAGATTATGTTCCGAAGGAGTAATCCTGGCTGAGGTGGGGTTGGGGTTGGCAGTGAGCGTCGCAGAGGGTGCTCCAGAGGTGACAGCTTAGGAAAAGGCAGAGAGTTTGGAACAAACTTCACTTGTGCTGGGGACAGTGAAGCCCTGGCCGGAGAAGGGCTGGGGCAGGGGGATGACTGTTGTGGGAAAGGCGGAAGGAGGGGGCAGGGCAAGGCAGGGACAGGGACCGTCCACCTTTACTCCCGCCTCCTTTACTCTGGCTCACCTCTTCCGAGCCCCAGCCGTGGGGCCGGATGCTGAGGGGTCCCCTCTGGAGGGGCTGGAGCAGTTCAGACGGGGGTCACTCCCCCAGCGGGGCAGCAGGGAGGACTCGGGGGTCAGGGGCGACAGGCCGTGGAAGCTCCGCGCGCGGGGCCGGCGCACAGCCCCTCGGGGTCTGTGGTAGGCGCTGGGAGGCTGCTGGCTGGCGCTGAGCTGGAAGTCGTCGTCCATGGAGATGTAAGGGGCCAGCATCTCCAAGTCCAGAGCATCGGCGTCCTGCAGGGGACGGGCAGGGGTAGGGAGTTAGGAGCTCAAGCCTCGGACTTTAGAGGACCTGGGATGGAGTCCCAGCTCCACCGCCTCCAAGGTGCATGGTCGAGGCCAGGAGTCGGAGATTCAGATTCTGCATCTGTGAAATGGGTATAAGGACTAAGTGGTGGTCAAGCACAAGATGGCCCTCCAAGATCCTCCTCTCTTGGGATTCCCACCCTAGCTGGTGCCCAGTGACTGAGGCTGACCTGGTCACAACAGGAGACGGTCTTCTGTGATTTCCACCCTGGGTTATAAAAGGCATGGGGCTGTCCATCTCTCTCCCCCATCACTTCCTGACCAGCTCCACGGAGAGACCCCCCAACCCACCAAGGAACTAAGGAACTAAGACCTTTGCCCACAGCCCAGCGAGTGACCTTGGAAGTGAATCCTCTAGGCCTTGCCAAGCTTTCCAAGAGACCCCAGCAGAAGCCACCAGCTAAATGGCTCCCAGACCGTGACCCTCGGGAATCAGGTGAAGTTACAAATACTCAGTGTTTGAACCTCTACGTTTGGGTAGAAATAGATACGAGATTTTGATACCGAGAGTGGGGTGCTGCCATTAACCCAAATCTAAACTATAGGAGTGGCTTTGGAACTGGGCAGGGGTCAGCAGGACTGTGGAGCAGGTTGAGAAGTCTGTCGCTGCCGTGTTAACTACTCTCAGACCTGGGATGTCCCCCAGAGTCCATGCGTTGACAGCATGGACCTCATGTGGCAAGTCAGGGGAGGGGTTTTCAGGCACTGACCGGCTCTAGGGGCTCTGACCTCCCCAGTGGATTAATCCACCGAGAACGGATTCACTCATAAGGGATCCTCAGTAGCTTAGTTCACAGTAGCTGAATGGAGCCGCGGAGGCCTGGCTGCAGGAGCAGGTCGCTGGGGCGTGCCTGGGGGGTGACCTCTCCCAGGGCCCCGCTCCCTCTCCCTCTCTCCCCAATTCCCAGCTGCCATGGGCTGAGCGGCTCTCCTCCGCCAGGTCCGTCCACCTCTTGTCTCTGCAGTAGCATCACTGACCTGGACGAAGACCTTTGAACTGCGAGTCAAACCCTCCTCTAAGTTGTTCTTTCAGATGTTTTGGTCACGGTGACCAAAAACCTAACACAGTTTTGAAAAAAGCAACCGTCACAATCTGAACCCTGCTCAGCTGGGTGCGGGCTGAGGAGGAAGGGAGGCGCAGGGGACAGGAAGCGGAGCAGAGAGCCACACGGAAAGGAGGAAATGGAGCTGGTGAGCTGGGGACCAGCCGAGGAGGCTGCAGCCAGTGTCGGGGGCCACCTGAGTGCTTCCCATCCCTCCCGGTAAAAGGCAGGAGCAGACAGAGAAGCTAGAGGAGGAAATGTCGCCATGAAAGAACTGGGATTCTCAAATACAAATTTGAAAATCGTGTATGAATTTGGGCATTCTCCTCCTCTCTGTGTGCTGAAGAATTAACTTTGGGCTGGGCTTGGAGCTCGGTGGTGGAGCACTTGCCTAGCATGTGTGGGGCCCCGGGTTCCATCCCCAGCACTGCATAAAAAATTAAAAAATAGAATGAATTTTCTTCTAAGTGAAGTCTTGCCTGGGAGATCAGAAAACCCCTGGAACCCCAAGGGGTAACTGCATCTGCTGTTCGCCATCGGCCCTTGGAGTGTGCCTGATGGTTCTACAGACAGGTGACTCGTGAGAGTCTATGCTGATGAGATGACCCTGAGAGAAAGACCAACATGTCACTCAAGGGTTGGGGCTTTGGGCCACACGGAATCAGCCTGACCCCCAGGGAAGGCGGGGGCAGCCCTGGAAACTCCATTCAATCACGGGGCGATGACTCCGTCAGTCCTGCCTAGCTAAGCCTCCGTTAAGACCCCTGGGTGAACTTTCTAGGCCAGCAAGACTCCACATGCACGTTGCCAGAAGGGTAACGTGTCCCTAAAGACAAGAAAACTTCCCACTGGAGACCCCTCCAGCCCAGATGCCACCTCCAGCATCTCTTCCTTTGCTTCTGATTTGTATTCTTTTGCTATAATAACTACAGTTGTTGCCAGATGCGGTGGTGCATGCCTGTAATCCAGCAGTTCAGGAGGCTGAGGCAGGAGGATCTCAAGTTCAAGGCCAGCCTCAGCAATTTAGCGAGGCCCTAAGTAACTTAGTGAGACCCTGTCTCAAAATTAAAACTAAAAAAGCTGAGGATGTGGCTCAGGGTTAAGTGCCCCTGGGTTCAATCCCTGGCACCAAAACAACAACAACAAATAATAAGAACACCCCCAAACCCCACAGTGAGCACAGGCCTGTGCTACATAATGATGTCCTGGTCAACGATGGCCTGCATATGGACGCGACTCCATAAGGTCATAGCGGAGTTGAAAGTTCCTCCCACCTAGTGACGCTATAGCTGTTGTAAGGTCATAGTGCTGTGAGTGGCCAGGTCTGTGGTGACGCTGGTAGAAACAAAGCCACTGTGTTCCTGGTCACACAGAAGCTGAGCACCCCCGGTTGTGTCCAGTACGAGGTACTGGACGGTGGTGACGGACACCTGTGCTGCTGGCCCACGTCATCAGCCCGCTGTGCCTTTAGGGTTATTTTAGAGCACGTTCCTTGGACGTCTGAGAAGAGTTGGCTGAGCCAGGGGCGGTGCTCACCCAGAGTCCCAGCCACTTGGGAGGCTGAAGCAGGATGACCGCGTGAGCCCAGGAATTGGAGGCCAGCCTGGGCCACAAAGCAAACCCTCCCCTAAGTAAACAGACAGATAGATACATAAATAAAGCTTGCCGTGTGACAGTATGGATGCCACGTTACACCCGCAGCAGCCTCACACACACTGCGGTTCACAGAGTGTGTCAATCACATCCTCTTGGGCTTGATTTAATCTCTGCTGCCTGCTCTTCATGGCCCTAGAAGCCCGAGGCCATGTGTGGAGAGTACACTTTGGAGCTTAGGTGTGTGGCTGGCTGCACCACAAGATGACATGGCCTAAGGCTGCGTTCCTCAGAGTCTCCCTGTCATGAAGCGACACAGGACTGTCAAGTACCTCCCTGAATACTAGGATGGGAAGCCTGCCGGTCAGAAGTGAGAGTGGCCCTGGGGACCCCTAAACTTGCAACTGCTGTCAGAAGTCCTGGGTAGAGCTGGGTGTGGTGGCACATGCCTATAATCCCAGTGACTCGAGAGGCTGAGGCAGGAGGATCACAAGTTGGAGGCCAGCCTCAGCAACTTAGTGAGACCCTGTCTCAAAATAAAAAACAGAAAGGGACCGGAAGTACAGCTGCTCGGTGAGAGAGCACCCTGGGTTCACCCCAGTGGTGGGGTTGCTGGGGGTGAAGAAAGAAACACGGATGGTACTAAAAGAAAAGAGCCCTTTGGATCACCAATGTTCTTCCTTTTTTTTTTTTGTTTAAAAATCTGAATTGGCTTCATTTTCAATTCTTGAATTTGGCAACACTTCATTCCATAAAATAGAGCAAGTATTTCTGGACCATCCAAATTCTAGACAGAGAAGCAGGTTGAAAAGCTCCTGAGGGGGCTGGGATAGCTCGGTTGGTAGAGCGCTTGCCTGGGCTCGATCCCCAGCACCAAAAAAAAAAGCTTCTGAGTTGTGAATCCATGTCACTTTTTTTTCTTTTTTTAGATTGGGGATTGAACCAATCCAAAAAAAAAAAAAATCCCCCCACACCGTAGGGGGATTGCTTAGCCACTGAGCCACATCCCCAGCCCTTTTTTTTATTTTGTTTTGAGACAGGGTCTCGCTCAGTGGCCCAGGCTGGCCTTGAACTTGACTCAACCACCTGAGTTGCTGGAATTACAGGTGTGTGCCCCTGCACCTGGCTACACGTTACCTTTTATGAGAAAGGGGCAGTGACTCGGGGTGAGGGGCCAGTAGCTCAGAGGGTGGCATCTAGAGCCATGGAGAAAACCGCTGGGAATCAATCGGGCACAGGAGTCCCCATGTAGGACTCCCGAGATCCGCCAGATCAATTAAAAACCACTATGGATGCGGACCCTGAATGCTTCCTCTCTCCCCGTTTTTTGAATAGGAGTGCCTGTGGCAGTTCTGTGCCTGTCCCACCTCCACGTGCCTGGTGTGCAGCTCACAGGCCAACAGGGGCTGACCCAAGGAGCTCCGGGTTCTGCACAATGGGAAGGGACCTTGGCGGGCCTTGGGAGGGGGCGGGCGAGGCAGGAGTGCTGCGTGTCAGATCTGAGAACAGGTCATGAGAGACACCGCCTTCTGTTTGGCTTCTCCTCCTGTCTCCCTGTCTCCCTTTCTGTCTGTCTGTCTCCTGGTTGGATTGCGTGCCTTGAGCCAGCTGCCATGCTCTGAGGACAGTTCTGCAGCCCACGTAGTGACAAACTGAGGCCTCCAGCCAAAGCCAGGGAGGTGCTGGGGCCCGTCTGCACCACGTGCAAGAACCTGGGGACAAATCCTCTCGCCCCAGGTAGTGCCACCTAAGAGCCCGACTTCAGCCTCCCGGGAGACCTAAGTCACCCAGCCAAGCGTCTCCTGAGGTCCTGGTTCTCAGAAACCTCGAGACATAATAAATGACGATTGTTTTATAGTGATGAGTTTGGGGTCATTTGTTATATAGCAATAGGTGGCTGTGCACCATGTCCCCCAGTCACCTGATGGACCTGTTCAATCAAGCACCCCTTCAAATGTCATCTGTCCATTGTCACCCAGTCAATGACAATGGTCCATCTATGCAGCTATCCAACCATCCATCTGTCCATCCTTCCAAATACCTGACGAAACACCACCCATCCAGCATCACCCACCTAATGGATACAGTGATCCGTCTGTCCATCTGTCCATCCATCCATCCAGATATCTGCCTAAACTTCATGCATCCATCTCTGTCATCCACCTGACGAACACCATGGTCCATCTGTCCATCCACTCGTCCCTAAATCCAGAAATGTCAGCCCCCAGAGCACAGAGGTGAAGAGCTCCTGCCACGCCCGCCCTCACCTGAGCTGCGGCCAGCTCCGTCTCCGCTGCCCCGAGGATTCTCCCGCTGGGGAAGAGCCCGCGCGCGTTCTCCACGCCCACAGGTGGTTCACCTGGGAGATCAGCCTGTGGGGGACAGAGCAGGGACTTGAGGAAGTGACAACACGGACAATCTGGGGGTCAGGGTAGCAGTGAGGGTCAAGTGTGAGACGGCGGGGCCCCAAGGTGGTCGGGTAACAAACGTAAGTGAGTCCATCCTGGTGTGGGAACGCAGAGCGCCCGGGCGCACGGGGATGGCCAGGCAGACGGGAGGGCCAGGACGGCCGAGGCCAACACCCCCAGGCCTCAGCTCCAGGGGCCTGGCGTCCCAGCGCCTCGTCCTGGTTACCAGTGGCTGCCGGGCAGGGTCCTCAGCAGATAATCTCGACCCGCTGGGATCCAGGCCGGGCTGTGCGCAGGCCAGTGAAGGGGGCAGCCGCCAGGGTCTACCGAGCACCTGGGAGGTGGCCGGCCCCTACCAGGTGCTTCCCAGGAACACTCTCACTTAACCCACAGTGACCAACACGTGGCCCCTGTTCTGGTCTCCCGTCATGCAGGAGAAGAAACCGAGGCCGCAGGAGCTCACTGGCCCCGGGAACACAGCGCGTAAGGAGCAGGTTCTGGATTTGAACCCGGGACTCTGCAAGTCAAGCTCTTAGACATTCTCGACTCTTCGAGGCAACACTCAGAGCGCCTGGTGCTTGGCCACGGCGGGACCATTGCTTGTGCCAGTTCAGACACGCTGGGGTTCCCAGCCCAGGCCGAGGGCCGATTCCCGAGTCCCAACTTGAAGAGTCTGGGGTCCAGGTCTCAAAAGAAGCCCAGCCCACCCCATCCCACCCTCCACGACTGACGGAGACACAGGTCAGGGCGCAGCAAGGTCCGGCCAGAGGCGAGGGGGCTGCTTACCGGAAGAGGGCTCTGGGGACGCCGCGCAGCCTGCGGGGTGCTGGGGGTGGCAGCTCCCGAAGCTCCATCTAGGATGGGTGCCAGGAGGCGGCGGAGGTCAGGGCTACAGAAACGGCGGGGGTCAGCGGCCAGGGTGGCCTCGCTCAGGGAAGGGGGGTGCAGGAAGGCCAGGAGGCGGGGGCCAGGGGCATCTGCAGGATGGGGAGGACATGGGTGATCATCTAGGACCGAGGGCCAGAGCTCCCCAAGCCCAGCCCAGGGGACACAACCAATCGGGATGGCACTGTCCTTAGCGATGGGGAGAAGGGCCTGCAGGACCCCTGGAGGACCCCTGCGGGGCCAGGGGTTAACTTCAGTTCCCTGATTGTGGAGGGGCCCCAAATAGTGATTGGTGACTCAGATGGGCCCAAGGCCCCAAGGAGGTGCTAAAGTCCCTGGGGATCAAGTTGGCCATCACTGAGAAGAGGAAAGGACACGATCAATCCACCCACAGAGAAGCATGGACATGGAGGGAAGCCCATCCAGGATGAGGGGCCAGGAGAAGGAAGAGGGAGGAAGGGGCCAGACTCAGGGGACCCAGGTTACTGGAAGCCACATAGTAGTAAGGTGTGGGCAATGGGGAGCCACAGCAGGATACAGAAGAAGGGGGCGACAGAGACTGATACCATCAGATATAGAAAAGGGAGGATGGGAGAGAGAAGAGCATTCTGGGAAGGAAAATTGCAAGTGCAAAGGCCCTGAGGCAAAAAAGGGTGTAGCAACGTCTGAGAGCTCTTAAGAAGCTGGTGTGTTCTGGAGGGTGAGTAGAAGGAGAGGAGGGCAGGAAACGGGTCCCACAGGGCCGGGAGAGCCGTGTTAAGGTCCATGTGCTTTCTTCCAAGGGTCCTGGGGACACAACAGCTCTGCTCCATACCAAGCCTGTGCCCAGGATTAGGGGCGTCCTTCTGAGAGAGGGCACCCCCCTGCAGGGGTCTGCGAGAGTGTTGCTCCGTCTGCTCCAGGGACAGCACCACACCCGTCTCTTCCACTCGGCTGGGTACAAAGCAGACAGTATATGCTTTTTATAACACAGGCCAAGTAGCCCTAATTCAAAAATCCAAGATCCTAAACCTAATGAGTGGAAAGTTCTACACCGTGAAACTTGGTGTCATGCCCCAAACTACTTGAAATATTGTGAAAGTGACCTTCAGGCCAGGTGCATAGGTACACGTGAAACATAATGGATCTTGTGTTTAGATTTGGTCCCGTTTCCGAGATACCCCATTAAGTACATGTGCAGATACTCCAAGGTCCACAAAACCAAACACACCCCCCATTCTGGTCTCAAGCCTTTTGGATAAGGGATACTCAACCTGTGATGGCATTTAAAAGAAAGTTAAATTTGTCACTTCCCAAGCTCCCTCTGTGGCAGGAAAGAGAAAAAGCAGCTGGCATCTAGCGCAGGCCGGGTGGGTGGAGAGGAGGATCCAGGAGCTGGGGTGGGGGACAAGGGGACAGAGGGGGAGGGTGCAGGGACAGCCGGGAGCCCGGGCCCAGGGGGCCAGCGAGAGGCCTGAGCTAAGCAGTCTCCTTACAGATGTGCACTCATGAGCATCCTCTCCTCAACGTATCCATGAAAAGCATATTTTTAACATCTTCTTCCTTCCATTACCAAATATGAAGAACTCACAGGGCCCGGTTTTTATGAATAAGCGCTTGTTTAGGGAGCTTCTATTCATAGACATTTTTCATACTCCAGGGGACGGGTTTATAAATACATCCTTCTTATGTCCCCCGCACCTCCCGTCCCACCGTCTCTGGCTACAGAGACGATCCAGATGCTCGCTGGGCGATCGTGGGGACAGTGGGTGTGGGGCTGGGGACCACCCCTCATTTGCATCTCATCAGCATAAGCCAGGCAGGTGGACCTGGCCTTCCCATGGGCTCTGACCCCCTCTCCACCCTCTTGACACCCGTCCTGGGTTGGAGACATCTCAATGTGGCCTGGACCAGAGCCACACTTACCCCCTGAAACACACAAGGGACACAACTGCACAAGTACACACACACGTCCCGAGAGCACCCAGCGACACACACATACACACACCACACACACACACACATATACACACACACACGCACAATATCATATGTTCCTAAAGTTAACTTTACCTGCCAGAAAACTCCAAGTGACATATATGGCTCAAATCACATTTTTATAGGATATTTACCGTGGTAAGTACCAAACAGAGAAGGGGGTTAGCAATTTTTAAAAGCTCAGTCAAGGATGCCTGGCTGAAAACACAAGAGGGGAATTACAAATAGTTCTAAGTAAATGGGGCAAGTTATAATATCAGGAGAGAAAATGGGGAGACCTGACCTTGTGTGGTCTCTCAGGAAGTGATGTCTGATTTTAAACTGAAAGGGAGAGTAGGCATGACTCAGGAGAAAGGGGAAGACCGAGAGAGGAGGAGACTGCATGTGCAAAGGTCCTGAGGTTTGGCTGGTGAGTGAGAAGGGGAGAGAGGTGGGAGTCCCAAAGGGCCTTGGACTTTCTCTTAAGGATACTGGGGGGCTGGGGATGTGGCTCAAGTGGTAGTGCGCTCGCCTGGCATGCGTGCGGCCCGGGTTCGATCCTCAGCACCACATGCAAACAAAGATGTTGTGTCCGCCGAAAACTAAAAAATAAATATTAAAATTCTCTCTCCCTCTCTAAAAAAAAAAAAAAAAAAGGATACTGGGGAGCTGCAAAAGGGTGCTCTCAGTTCAGGGATGTGGGATGCAAACTACTTGAATTTCAGATACCTCCCAGATCTGGGAAAACCCCTAAGGTTTTGGAAACTGATGCCACGTCCTGTAAGATAACCTTCAAGGAAAAGCTGTAACTGGGTACGTCTGTCTTTTTGAGCGTGTGGTACTGAGGATAGAGTCCAGAGCCTTGGGAGTGCTCTGCCACTGGCCACACCTCTGACTCTGTCTTGTGATCATACGCTGTCCTTGACACTCCTGCATTTCTCAATGGTGACAAAACTCTAAGGTGTGTGACAGGGGTGGGATTGGGACCCTGTGATTTTACCACTGCAGACCCATTAGGGATAACTAAAATTAAAACCAAACCAAGCCAGGCACAGTGGTGCAGGCCTGTAATCCCAGCAGCTCAAGAGGCTGAGGCAGGAGGAACGCGAGTTCAAAGCCAGCCTCAGCAACTTAGAGAGACCCTGCCTCTAAATGAAATATAAAACAGGGCTGGGGTGTGGCTCAGTGGGTGAGAGCCCCTGGGTTCAATGCCCAGGGCCAAAAAGGAAACAAAACCCTCTAGGGTCAGAGGACAGACGAGCCCTGAAAGCATTCTGGGGATGAGACGCGGAGGCAGCTGACACATCAGGGCTTTGTCATCCCGTGCGTCTGTCAAAATGCACAGAACCGTGTATCAAAGTGCGACGGTGCTCTGAGCACGAACTTTAATTTTTAAAAAGACCCTGTGTCTCGGCCGCACTTATGAATGTAACTTAGAGTTCCCTTCCACTTACACGATCTAGACGCACACGCGTGTGCACGTACAGCCACATGCATGGACATATGCCCAGGGCCTCACGTATACTCACGTGCAACACGCACACACACCTGTCCATGCACACGGACAAGACCCGGCGCACAGCCTCGGCATGGCCCCGCTCACCTGATCAGGAAGTGCACGCAGACGATGCTCTCTGACTGGGGGCCCCGGCCCCCTGACACCACCGTGGCCTGGGTCTGGGTCCACAGGTAGCCACCGCTCCGGGCCAGGAAGCGATACTGCCCAGTTACTGCCTGGCCCTTGCTCAGCACTGGGGACAGGGTGAAGGGAGGTCAGGGCCACAGAAGGGGACAGGAGGCTCCGGGGTCTGGGGTAGGACGTGGGCGGGGCCGGGGGGGAGGGGTGGCCTGGGGCGTGGGGGGGAGGAGGGGGGTGGGGGGGGGGGGCTTCCTGGGGTGTGGGGAGCTGGGGACGGCATTGATGGGGGGCTATGTGGCAGCTGGCTCCAGGCGGGGACTTGGGTCACATACAGGTGTGGATGCTCCTGCTGACGGCGTCGGAATCCAGGGCGTGGATGTACTCGTAGGCAGAACAGCCGATGAGGTCCTCGGGGCTATAGCCAGCAACCTCTGCGATCCTGGGGTGCAGTGGAGGGTCAGGGCTCAGGGCTGGGGCAGAGGGGCGGGTGGGAGGAAGAGGTGGGGACACAGGGACAAAACCAGCAAGGTGAGAGACAGGGTTGGAACAGGAAGGCAGAGAGAAGGAAACAGGAAAAGCGAGTGTAGGAGGGTTGTGGGTACATAGCAGCCCCCCAAGTCTCCGCGTTCCAGCTCTCAGAACCTGTGAGCATGGTACCCTGCACAGCAAAGGGCGTTTGAGACAGAATGAAGGTGAGAATCGAGGGCGGGCAGGACCCCGGGTTATCCAGGGGGACCCACAGCATCAAGGGGTTCTTGGTAGAAGGGGGCAGGCAGTTTGGTGATGAATAGGGACTGAATAGGATAAGGGGCCAGGAGCCAAGGGACACGGTGGCCTCGAGCAGCTGGGGAAGGCAGGGCCACAGGTTCTTCCCTAGCCTCAGCAGGAACCAGCCCTCAATTTTAGACTTGTCAGACTCATTTCAAATTCCTGATCTCCAGAACAGAGGGCCAGGGAATTGATGTTATTTTGAGCCACTGAGTTTGTGGAAAGCAGCAATAAAAACCCAACACGAGCCAGGTGTGGCGGTGCACACCTGGGAGGCTGAGAAAGGAGGATGGCCAAGTCAGAGGCCAGGCTCAGCAACAGCAAGAACCCATCTCAACATAAAAACAGAAGGGGCTAGGGAAGTGGCTCCGTGGTAAAGTGCCCCTGGGTTCCATGCCCAGCATCAAAAGCAAATCAAAACACGTGACATAAGTGGAAAGGGAGAGTAAAAAAGCAAAGAGAGGGAAAAAAAAAAGTGAAACAGAGGAAGAGAAGAGAAGAAAGAAATTGCAAAGAAAAAACAGAAGGAATAAAAAGAAATAATGATGATAATGATGAAAAATGAGACTCTCGTGTTCTGCGCTGAGCAATGCACTTGAGTGCTCAGGGTAACTCCACAAGGTAGGCACCATTATTCTCCCACAGAACAGTTGGGAGAACTATGGCACAGAGAGGTGAAGATATTTGGCCAAGGACACACAGCCAGGTGGAAACTCAAGCAAATCTGAGCCCAAAGTCAATGTTCCTGAGCATGACTCCACAGTGAGGGAAAGATGGAAAATGGAGGAAGGATGGGAAAGAAGGACAGAGGAGGGAGAGAGAGAGGGAGAAAGAGAGGGAGAAAGAGAGGGAGAAAGAAAGGGCAGAAAAAGAAGAATCATGAGTGTGTGGGGGGGGGGCCGGGTGGGGGGGGGGGGGGAAGGTGCTAACTGCTCCACATAAACTGACTCATTTAAGAGAAGCAACAGAGGGACAGAGGGACAGAGAGGGAGACGGTAAGAAAAGACACGAAGAGAGAAAAGGAATGAAAGGTCAAAAGGCCCACAGAGATTCCGACAGGTAGACACTGAGGACGCAGAGGGAACTGCAAACAGAACCAGAGCGTGGGGCGGGTCGGGTCGGGTCGCTGGGGCACTGCCCACCTCTCGTCGCAGTAGGTGAACTTCATGTCCAGGCTGTGGCGACTGAGGAAGGCCCCCCGGCCCAGCGGGGGCTCCAGGCTGCCTGGGTGGGGGATGGCTTCACAGATGAGCACCAGGCACTGCAGCGGGGGCTCGGAGCCGGGGCTCCCGGCGGGGGAAGGCTGTGCGGGGGGCTTGTAGACCCTCATATGTCCGGAGCAGTGCAGCACCTGGGCCGGGAGAGGGGGCGGTGGGTCCCGTGTGGGTCCTGGGTGACCCACGGGGCTGGGAGGCCAGTCCCCGCAGGCCCCACAAGGAACAGCAGAATTCCTGACTTCAGAGAGTCACCTCAGAGAGCTCCGAGGACCCAGGTTCCAGCCCCACAGGGACTCTTAAGTTCAAGTCCATAGAGATCCAGCCTGAGAAAGGTGACAAGGACCCTAGATTCCCCACCTCACGGACACCCAATTCCTAAATGCCCTAAAGTTCCCCTGGGCCCAGCTTCAAGGAGCCCTGCAAAATCCTGGCCTAGGACACCGCGACTCCCAACCTCCCCAGACCTCCAGGGGCCCAGGCCCCGCCCCCGCAGGCCCAGGCCCCGCCCCCGCAGGCCCAGGCCCCGCCCACCTTCCAGGTGGCTGCCTTGAGGTTGAGGGTGCGCCCCCTGCTGGTGAGGGTGCTCTTCATGCGCAAGGAGAAGCACCGCTCCGTGGGGGCCTCGGGCTTCTTCTTGGACAGGCCTGGGGAGGCAAGGGGATGGCGGGCAGGTCACCCGCAGCTGCAGAGGGCCCAGCGCCCTCCAGCACCTTGGCTGCTAAAGGTGCCCCATCCCTGACGCGCAGAGTGATCATCTACGGGAAGGGTGTGTCCCTCAGAGCCAGGCAGGGGCCATTTCTCCTCTTCACTTATGCCAATCCGGTGGTCCAGAGGAAGAGGGGGTGCGCCGGAGTGGGGTGGGGTGACCTCAGCTTGCTCTCCTGTAGAGTGGGGACAGGGGCCTCCAGGGCACTCACTTGGGCTGGGGGTCAGGGCATCCTGGAGCTCCTCTTGGTCGCAGGGATGGATGAAATCGAAAACACTGTGTCCGATGAGCTCCAGCTGCCAGAGAGGGCAGAGCAGGGGTCGGAGGAAGGGCCGCCTCAGGGGGGCCCTGGCCCTTTACCTCTTCTCTCCCTCAGCCCTGCCCCAGTTCCAGCCTGGGGTGCTCCTCTGTCTCATTCATTATCATTTATTCAGCACCCACTGCTTGCCAGGCCCTCCAGGTGGGGGTGACCCCACATACAGAGCCCTGCCTTGCAGAGCCTACCGGCTAGTCTGGGGAGACAGACAGTAAAGAAACCAAGTAAAACAACATTTCACAACGATATGATAAACACCAGGAAGGCAACCAAGGCTGGGGAAAGTGACGTAATGATGGGAGGCTGTTTTAGAAAGAGTGGCCTCTTGAGAGTTTCTTTGACATTAAAAAAAAAAAAAAAATTGTTGAACAAATCAAGTGAGGTGGTCTTGTGGCCCCGGGGTGAGTGTGTTCTAAGAAGGAAAGCGGCATGAGCAAAGGCCCTGAGGTGAACCATGCCTGCTAGGCAGGAGACCCAGCTGCTTGCTTCAGTCTAGGAAATGAGCCTAGTGCTGGGAGAAGGGACAGATGGATGGGGACCCACAGGGGCTCCCAACCTGGTGGTGGCAGAATGTCATCTCACTCTTCTGACACTACCTCTTGGAAATTGGAAGCATGACTCTGCCCCTTCCTAGCTTGGGGAACTTGGGACATTCGCCTCTCTGAGTCCAAGAGTTCACACCAACAGAGGAACTGGTACCCAGAGTCAGGTAATGAGGCAGGGGAAAGGAACAGAAGGCTACTGTGGAGTCCATGTATGTGAAATAGAAAAAATAACAGGAATCCCCACATGGGGCTTGCTGGAGACTATTAACCAGCTCTGTTTTCTAAATGTCTCCAGTTGCCCACCCCCATGGGCCCTGCCCTCTTCTCCCACCTGTGATCCCTTGCTGATCTCCCAAACTCTACTTACTCTCCCTCCAACTCTATCCCCAGGAGGACTCTTTCTTTCTAAAGTGTGAATCGGATTCTACCCCTCTGGCACACCCTCTCCCCTGCTTCCAATCATTCCATGGCTCCCCAGTGCCCTGGACACAAACCTTCTAACTTGGCCCTACACTGTCCTGCCCTTGCTCATCTCTCAGCCTTCTCTCCCATCTTCTTCCACTGCGCCCTGCTCCGGCCGGGTGAACTTCTCCACCTTCCCACAGTGCTCTGCTTCTCTCCCCTCTGATCCCCTGGCACGTTCTGGTTGCTCATGCCATCCTGGTCTTCGCTGGTCCCGCCCACTTCACACACCTCAGCTGGCCAGGTCCTTCAGGTTTCAGCTTGGATGTCCTTTTCTCCAGGAGTCCCCAGTACCCACCCCCCAGGCTTGGTCAGGTACCCTCTACCCCAGTCCTAGGCTGTCCCATCTCAGCCCTGACTATTCTGTCTTGCTGCCTGGTGACACACCTATATCCCCTCTGTCCTGTGAGTCCCGTAAAGGCAAGGCCAAGGCTGTGTGGTCACCAGCTCAGGGCCAGGCACGGAGCAGGCAGCTCACCTGACTGAGGCCCAGGTGTTTGCTGACATTTTCCGACAGGTAAGCCATGTCTCCCTCGGCGGTGAGCACCATGACGAAGCCCTCCAGGGCCTTCAGGTAGCAGGCATCCAGTGGCTCTCCCCCTGCTCCCACCTGGTTCCACTCCCCTGGTGCCCGGGGCGGGGGGTGGGAGGGTCAGTCAGTCCTGGGTCCACTGCAGCCAGCCTCCCTCTCCTTTCCTCACTGAGAGGAACTTACAGGTATGTCCAGGTGGGTGGGGGTACATCCTAGTGGCTTGGAGTCCCAAGCATTGGAATTGGGAGCAGGGCCTTTCAGGAGACAGAATTCTAAGGGAGTGTGACTCCTAGGAAGGCAGACCCCTAAGAAGATGCAACACCAGGGGTCCAAATTCAAGAGGGCCAGGACCTAGGGGCGTCAGACTTCTAGCTTCCCAGAATTCTTGGAGAACAGGACCTTCCAGATGGGCAGAATCATAAAGAAGCAGAGACTCCCAGGGGACAGAATTCTAAGGGCGCAGTCTCCCAAAGAAGTAAAATGCTGTGGGGCAGAGCCTGCCTGAGAGTAATTCGATTTCCTCCGTAATAAAACCTTTCCAAGGTCCTGGGAGTCCAGGTGAGCGTGGGAGTGGGGGTGCGGGGGAATCCTGCAGAGTGGAATTCTAATTGGGTGGAAATTCAAGGGAATGGCTAAGGGAACAAGCTATACAACCGGATGGGCGGGAAGAGGAACTCTCAAGGAATTAAAGCTGGGCAGTAGATCATCCAGGAAAGTCTCCTCAAGGCACCAAATCTAAAGGTTGAGGGGTCTCAGGCGGCTAGGGCCCTCGCTTTGAGTTCTAAGGAGGCGGGGCTTTTCAAGAGCGCACCTAGGGGGCGGGGCCTTGAGAATGATAGACTACTAAAGGGGTGGGACTTCCAGGAGCACTGGGCTCCGACTGGCCCTGCACTTGAAGAGGCGGGGCCTCGTCCGAAGAGCGGATTCCAGGGAGGTGGGGCTCCACCGGGAAAACTCCACCCAGGGGGCGTGGCCTCTCGGGCTCAGGCTTCCCGGAGGAGGAGCCTCCCGGGGGCTGGAATTCCAGGGGCGGGGCTCACCTGCGGCACAGAGGCGGTGCATGCGCAGGTAGCTGATAGTGAGGCGCATGATGGAGGCTTTGTCCAGGTGGGCGCTGACGCCGCGCGCGAAGGGCAGCGTGTGTGCCAGCTGGTACAGCACCTCGGTCTCCTGGCTGCGCCGGCTGCGGGCCGCATCCCGGGACTTCTCCTTGCGCAGCTCGGTGCTGGACCTAGGGGCGTGGGCAGCGTTCACTGGCGGAGTTCCGGGAAGGGAAAGAGATGGATGGTACCAGCAAATGGGGCGTTTGGAGCCCGGGCTCATGGGCCTCGCTGTGTGGCGTCCTGTGGTCTGGAATGTTACAATCTGAGCCCTCCTAGCCCTGGGTTTTACCTGTCCTGGTGCCAAACCATGCTGCCCTCCTGGCGCCTCGCTCCTCTCTGTGGCATGCCTCGGACCGCTCTGTCCCCTCCCTGACTTCTATGCAGTTTAATTCCCGAGCCGGGGACGCCCGGGGGACAGAGAGGCCTCCTGATGGGAGGGGGATGGCTGAGCTGGCCGGGGGCCAGAAGAGGGAGGGAGCTTGAAGATGGCTGGAGCTTCCCAGGTCCCCTGCCCTTCAGCCTCCGGGAGCCCCCTGCACTGCCCTTTCCCCTCCTCAGTGAGCTGAGTCCTCAGAATCTTGGAGCAGAGATATCTCAAAGTCTAAGGAGGCACCAATAGGGGCCCTAAGGGGCCGCCCGCCAGGGTGACACAGCAAACCAGCCCCGGCTTTTACCCAGCAGATAGCTCTTCACCCTCTACCTTTTAATCAACTTCAAATACCTGAATTTTGCGAGTGGGGCTGGGTTGGGGGGATGAATACTGTTTTGTTGGAAACATCTGCCACGTATCGGGTTTTCCTATATCAGTACCCGTGCCAAGTGGGAAACCCACGTAATGCCCAGACAACTCTCAAGGAAGCAAATCCATTATCCCCGTTGAACAGACCAGGAAACAGAGCAGCGAGGTGCAGCACTTGCTGCTGATGTGAGGCCAGGGGTTGAACACGGGTCTGCCTGCTCTCCTAAGATTTCTCTGTTTTATGGTCCTGGATTTATGTCCAAGTTTTAAAGTGTTTCATCCTGTTTCTGCCACCATCTTTGAATTCAAACTCCATGTCTATCTGAAGCTGTAGTTTGGCTTTTGAATAAAAAATTAAAGGGTCTCTTGCTTCTTATATATGTAGTCTTATCTACATTTATAATATTGGCAAAAACCATTCCTAATAAGCAGCCATCGATTGCTAAGCATTATGGGTCTGACGCTGCAGGTATTCTGCTGGGTGCACTCATGCCATCCTCAGGAGACCTCTAGAGGGAAGCTTTTAGACTTCCATTGTTTGAAGGGAAAACTGAATCTCTGCGAGGTGAAGTCCTTTGCCCAAGAAGTCAGAAGGCCAGTACCTGGCTGAGCTGGGATTTTAACCCCAGCACTGAGGTTCCAAAATCTTCAGTCTTTTCTCTGATCCCCTCTTGTGATCCCCCACCTCACCCCCAATGAAGCAGAATATCTAGGAGGGGAGGCTGTCCCTTCCTAAATTCAGGGGAGCTGAGGTCATTTCTGGGGTGGCATCAACCCCACCCCCTAGCATGAGGGGTGCAGAGGAGATTTCTTGTCTGGTTGCAGAGGGAAGAAAAGCACTCAGTTCAAGAGAGTGGGAGGCACAGAAGGGGGCAGGCTAGGTCAAGGGTTGGAGGGGGTGAGATATGGTCCCCATCCCCTCCCTCTTGGCTGCCGAGGGTGGGGGGCAGGGGCCTCAGTCCTGCCTGCCCAGAGGACATTCCGTCCTGTACTGTTCTGTTCCAGCCCTGTTTGTCTTCCTGCCCAGAGGGTGGGGGTGGGCGGGCCTCCCTGAGCTGGGGGCCCTGACAGAGGGAACAGGGAGTGGGAAGAAGAACGGAGGTGGGGCGGGTGCCCCACCTCCCAGGCAGCTGGGCTCCTAATCCTCTCGGTGGCAGGCTTCTTCCTCCATAGAAGGAGCCAGCTGGTGGCTGCAGAAGGACCTCCTTCCAGCTCCCAGTCTGTTCTCCGGATGTTCTGACGGGAAGTGGGGGCCTCACTCTGGGTTTCTGGCTTTTCTGGCCTTGCAGTTAGAGTGGAAGCCAGTTCCTTGGGTTCGGGGTTCCAATCCCAACTCCACTACTTATAAGCTCTGTGGCTTTGGCCAAGTTGCACGGACCCGGTGGACACAGTAATGGAACCCACCTTGTGGGGTGTTTTGAATTTTAATGAGTTGATATATATCAAGGGCTTAGAAAACTAGACCTGGCAATTGGTTAGTGCTAAATAAAGGTTAAACTTACTCTCCCTTTGTCCACGTGAGGGATAGAAGGCTTGTGCACGGGGGAAACCTGTGGGCTTAGACAGTAACTCTGGTAGGTGCCATTATGTGTGTGGCTTTTACATGAGCACCCTGGGAGGAGGACTAGTAACGGTGTGAATCATAATGTGAGCTTTGGAGTGTTACACACTCGTGGAGCTAGAGACCCCACTAAATCCTCCCAACAACCCCCTGGGCCAGAAGTGAGCTCCCTTCATAAAAGGAAGCAGCAGAGCTGGAACAATGGAGTCCCCACCCGACCAACCCAGGTGGCATCCCGGGGTGAGGGTGGGGGGCTGCTAGTCAACTCTCAGCATTGCTCATCCACTTCTTAGTTAACCCACCCTGTACCTGGACCTTCCTTGGGGTTATTCTGATGTGGAAGCAGGTCCTCGGAGGTGATGAACTTGCCTGAGGGCACACGGCGCTCAGAAGCAGAGCCAGGTCTGTCCACTGCCACCCAGAACTCTGACTTGAACTCAGTTTGTTGTCACCTGTCAGGAGTTCTGCCCCCCACAACCTTTTCCTCACTGGCTTCTCAACTTGGTCTGGGGTGGGGAGGAGGAGGGACGCCTCCCATTTCCCAGGATATGAAATTGGAGATCAGAGAGGCAGACACTGGCCCAAGGCCACACAGCTAAGAAGTGGGTGGGCCTGTGCCTTTCAGTGCTCTTCCTCAGTGGGGGTGTCCAAGGGACCCCTCCCAGGCTCCTCTTTGCCTGGTGGCTTCAGTCTCTTCCCCTGTCCCACTGCTGCTGCCTCTGGATCTCCTCAGCTGGCCCCATGCCCAACCCTGGTCCAGCCCCTTGGCACAGGGCCCAGCCCGAGACGTGCTGCTGGATCCCTGCCACCCTTCCCCGTGTTCCAGCCAAGAACAGGGGGTGGGGCCAGGAGGCCCCAGGGTGAGGCCTGAGAAGGGGGACAGGGCCGGTCCTTCCCCCCACCAAGAGGGAGAGAAGCCCACCTCTTCCCACCCTGAAGGACTTAGACCTGGGAGCAAAGACCTGACAAAAGTAGGGAGTCCCCACCCCACATTCAGGGCTCCTCCTGGGCTCTCCTGGTTCTCTGGGTATTGGGGGGGGGCTCACAAACCTTTGTGGACTGGGCGGTGGCAGAGGCTTAGGTTTTATCTGGGCAGGGACCCTTCTTGGCACTGCTCAGAGGTGACCTGAGAGGCCAGAGGCAGGATTTGGGTTTGAGAAGGAACTTGGGGTGGGCGTTGGGGGAGTCTTTCTGACCCCAACTTTGCTTGTTCTCAAGGACATGGTAATCCCGTGGGATGCTCATCCCCAAAGTCCTATCTCCTCAGGGCACCCTTGACCTCCGTGGGCACCCAGATAGTGTGCCCGTAGGGACTTCCGGAGAACATCTATGCCCAGGGGTGGCTGCAAGTGCATCTGGAAGAAGGGAAGGGGGCAAGAGGGGCCCACTCACCATCACCCCCTTTGGCTGAAGTGCCATCCTGGGGGCGCAGGACCGCTGGAGCGGAGCCGGGATCCGGGTGCGAGTTATGAGTGGGTGGTGTGCAGAGTGGGATGACACCACAGGAAAGGGCTGGCCTTGGGTGGCGAGGGGGCCCCCACCCGGCCAGGAGGGGGCGCTGGGAGGGGCAGGGCCACCACAGCTGGCCCAGAAGGGGTGGGATGGAGTTCCCTGGTGGGCCCAGAGCCAGGGACTGGAATAGACTGGGAGAGAAGAGCCTGGGGGGGGGGGGGTAAAAAAACTTAGGGGTGTGGATGGATCTAATCAGACCTTTGAAGCCAGGGAGGCGGGAAGCCGTGAGGCTTGCTGAGTGCCTCAGATTGGACAGGAAAACCAAGGACCTGGGACATTTTCTGAGGTCTCATGGAAACCTGAGAGCGGTCCCAGAGCATAGGTTGCCTCTCTCTGCCCCAGCAGATCTGCACCTGCTGGGTGATGAACTCTAGCTGAGACTGAGCAGGGGGTGCTCCAGTTAGCTTGTGTGTGGGGGTCACCTGTTGAATCAAGCACAGTGCCTTGCCATAGGCTCTCCCCCAAATAAGGCTTGGGTGTGGCCCTCATCCCTCAGTATGCAGGGACTGGTGGCTGGGAGGGGGTAGTGGATGAATGAGGAATGGGGTCAGACTTTGGGAAAAGGGTCATGCTCGTTTCCCTGTTATGAGGGGGATGACGCTACTATTTAAAAGGATACCGAAAGGCTTCTGGGAAGGATCTCAAGCAGCTTCTAAAACGGACTTTTCCAGCCTATCTCTAGGGGAACCCAAGGTTGGGAGACTGTCATTAAGGGTCCAATCAAGGGGGATCTCTCTTCCTTTTGGTACTCAGAAGGCAAATCCCTAAGGGATTCCCTCTATCTGAGAATGGCCAGTTTGTAGGTAGGCACCCATATCCCCTGGGATCCCAAGGGTCGGAGGATGGCTAAGCACCACCTCCATTCTGAGACTTTGGAGACCAGAGGGATCACTATGCAAGGTAGAAAGGTTCCCCCCACTCCCGAAAGCCCGGGCACTGCCCAAACGCAACCACCTCCAATTCCATGTGGATCTCAAGTTTCACCCCAACCAGGCGGGGAAGCGAAGTGGGGTGTCAGGAAATACGGGATCACGACCCCCAAACCGTTCCTGGTGAGAGGGGCGGGACAGGCAAGGAGTTGGTCTGGAAGGTGAGGCGGGGTGTGCCTCCAACCGCTCGCCCCGGGGCGTCCTTGGCTCTCATCCGCGCACCTCCCCCATCAGGGGTCCCGGGAAGGAGAGCCCCCCAATTCCCATAATTTTGTCCCTAAATCCCAGTACCTTGCGCGCTGCAGCCCCAGTGCCATGGCTCGCCGGTCTCGGCTCCCGAGCCCTCCGAGGTCCGGAGCCCCCTCCCCTAGCCTGTGAGCCCCCTCCCCAGCCCCGCCCCCGCCGCATCATTGGCTGCTCCGCACCCGGCCTGCGCTCTGGTTGGGCTATAAGCCTGTCACTCCCGAGGAGGAGGCGGGCCCAGAGGAGAAGACTTGGAACTCTGAGGGGGGATACCGCGTAACACACACCCCCAGCCACGCCCCTCGCCGTGGACTTCCTCGGCAGCCGCGCGGTCAGCCGGCCGCTCCTTCACTCGCCGGGCCTCTGAAGTTCCAAGAGAGTGCACTCTGTTCTCTGTTCCCTGTGCCAGGGGCCCATCCTCTAACCCCACCTCTGTTCCACCCCTCCATTTCCTACCGCAAGTTGGGCCCCTTTGGCCTCTTTCTTGCCCCTTCTTGTCCTCCCGCCCAGCCTCCTGAAGCCCCTCTTCCTTTCCAATGAACCCCAACCTCCCCTCCTGCTCCCAACTCCCAACCCCACGCTAATTCCACAATCCTTCCGTGTTTCCAGTCTAGCGCCCTCTCTTCCCCCCACCCTGCCCCTCCATCCCTCTCCACTGTCCCCTAACCCCTTGGCCTCCCTAACTCTCATGTTCCCACTGATGAATAATTAGTTTATGTCAAGTAAATATGTTTTAACTCAATCACACCCACTTTTAAAAAACGCTTTATTTTATTTTTTAGTTGTAGATGGACACAATATCCCCATTTTATTTTATGTGGTGCTGAGGATCGAACCCAGGGCCTCACACATGCTAGGCAAGCGCTCTACAGCTGAGCCACAAACCCAGCCCCATCACACCCACTTTTAAAAGGAACAGAGAAATGGTAACTTTTTACCAGTCGAGTACGGAGAATGAGGTACAAAGCCACAGCCTTACCCACTTGGATAAGAGAGTTACGCATGTGAAAGGGATGTTCATGGATCCGTATACAGGATGCAACTGCGGGCAGGGTGGAGGACGCTGTAACAGAAGTCCATAGTGTAGCAGAAGTGACCTTGCTGATCCTTGAACTTAAGAGGCAAGTCCCAAGAGCCTCTGCACATGCAATTCCAGCTACCTGGCTCCCCACCTCACCCCAGTGTTCCATTGTTTTCTTTTGGGGAACTACTTCTCTCGTTTTTCAATCTATTTAATTTGAAAAAGGCTGGCCATACCTCTGCCCTCAACAACTCCAGAGTGGGACAGAGGACCCACACCTAGCCAATCAACTTTTGTTTTCCCTGGCCACAGTGATTGGTTCAAGGAAGGCATGTGACTTAACCCTGCCCAGTGAGAACAACCCTGAGACATTTGCTGACACTGTCAGGAAGGAGGTTTTTTATTTCTGCTAGAGTTGCCACGCTCCAGCTGATGGGCCTCAGGACTGAGGTTTAGGGGAAACTGGATCAAACCGAGGGCTTTCAGCATGCTGGGCACATGCTCTACCACTGAGCTCCACCCCAGCCCGAGGCCTACTGTGTTAACATGTAGATTGTTTCCATCTTTTGGATATTGTAAATAGTGCTGATAAGGACCTGTGTAGGCACACTTGCTTGATATCTGTTGTCAGTTCTTTCCGGAATACACCTAGAGGTGGAATTGTTGGGGCATGTGGTGATTCTGCTTAACTTTCTGAGAAACCACCCAAGTCTATTCCACAGCAGATGCACCATTTCACATTCCTGCCAGCCATGAGCCAGGCTTCCAGTTTCTCCATACCCTCGCCGTCATGAGGGCCATAGGCCCCTGTGGGGGAGAGAAGTCCTGCCTCTTTTGCCTTAGGGTGGAGTGTCTGCAAGAAAACCCCCCAGTTCCCAGGGCCCAGAGCTACCACCCCTCATTCTAAACTTCAAGGGTTTCCATCTCTTCTTCTTCTCTGAATGATGAGAAGCCTGCTTCCTCTCTTAGAGTGACTGCCATGCCATGGAAGGATGTTGGCTGTGTGTCCCAGGAACTGGAGGAGGGGAGTGTCCCACTGTCTTTAGGATAGGCCTCTGGTCAGGAGCACTACTTTTGTAGTTTGAGAAACCTGGGTCAACTGCAGGTTCTGTCACTTACATCATAGAGACTGTGGTGTGTGTGTGTGTGTGTGTATGTGTGTGTGTGTGTGTGTGTTTGTGTATTTTTTTTGGTACTGGGGTTTGAACCAAGGCTGCTTAACCCTTGAGCCACATCCCCAGCCCATTTTAATATGTTTTACTTAGAGACAGGGTCTCGCTAAGTTGCTTAGGGTCTTGCAAAGTTGCTGAGGCTGACCTCAAACTTGCAATCCTCCTGCCTCAGCCCCCTGAGCGGCTGGGATTACAGGTGTGCTAGAGTTAATTAGATCAGATGTGTGAGTGCTTAGCATAGCACCTGGCACCTGGTGAGTTTGAAGTATTGGCTGTCATTCGCTTGTGTGAAGGTCTCCTAAATGCCACGTTTCCCTGTGCAGATGCAGAGGTGTATGTGGCACTCATGCTGGGGACTACTCCCAGCATGGTGTGATATTAAATATTAAATTGGAATTGGAGAACATCCCACTAAGTGAAAGAATCCAGACCCAGAAAGTCAAGGGTCAAATTTTTCACTCATATGTAGAAGCTAGATAAAAATAAGAGGGAAAAAGTTGTGGGGGAATCACATGAAAATAGAAGAGATCAGTGGAGAAAGGGTTGTATATTTTCTCTCATGTATGGAAGCTGGAGGGGAAAAATGAACAGCAAGTGTAGGTCTTGGAAATCAAAGGGAGATCAGTAGAATATAGGGAAGGAACTAGAGGGAAGGGTGAGGGAAGAGAAAGGAGAGATATTGGGAAACAATATCGTGTTTGTGTGCCTGTGCAAATATATATAACAATAAATCCCACCATTATGTATAATTATAATGCACCAATAATATGGGAGGGAAAAAAGGGAATCTTTGCGGGGGCCTCAGCGCACCAGCGCCCCCTAGAGGAGAATCTCTGGCCGCACTGTGGAGGCCGAGCTGCCTCTCCCAGCGTCCTGCACACCCACACCCCTGCACATACCTCAGAATCCAGCGAGGTGTGTGTGTAAATCCGCGTGGCTTCTGGCCATCGGCTGCTGCACACGCCCACCGCAAGGCTCTGACAAGGAGAGATCTCCCGGAGCCTGCAGGAAGAATCTGTTAACAGTCACCATGGCTGGAGCCGCTCCCATCTGACATAAATAGCAAGAATTTTGCACCATTTTAATAGACGTTGAGTTTTCCAGGGAAGCAGCCACATGTAATCCAACAGAAAATCGCGCTCCGTCTCGGGCAGAAGCTGCTATTGAGAAATGTCACCACTTCAGAGACACCTATCGCCGACCTCTTGTGGTATTTGAGTCGCAATCTAAGCTGGTCACTCTAGTTTAGCTTCTGTCTTGGTCTCCAGAGACACTTGGATTAGTGTTTGTTCTAGGACCTGCCCTGAGCTAAGCTGGGCTGTACCTCGGAGCTGCGTACACAGTGCTTTCTTTCCAAAACCCAAATGCTGCTGTTTTTTTTTTTTTTTTTTTTTTTGCATGATTCTTTTCTATACTAGGGATAATGCATTGCAGTTTTTTCCCTCAGAGATTATATGGCAGGTAAATCATGCTGTGTGAATTGCATTTCATAATAATAAAATAATGAGAATTTATTTATTGATTGATTTTTTTTTAAACTGGGAATTGAATGCAGAGGCACTTTACCTCTGAGCTACATCCCTAGTCAGCTGAGGCTGACCTAGAACTTGCAAGTCTCCTATGTCAACCTCCTGGGTTGCTGGGCTGACAGGCGCATGCCACCAAGCCTGGCACAAAACATTCATTATTAAATAAAAGGGGAGTATGGGATTGAATACAGAGAGGTCAGAACTGAAGGTCTAAACCAGCGATTCCCAAAGTATGGGCTGTAAGGTCCCTGGGGGTTCCTGAGATCCCTTCAGAAGATTTGGCCTTCTATCCACAGTGTCAAAACTATTTTCACAGTACTGCTAAGATGTCGTTTGCCTTGCTCCTTTCCCCAGCATACAGCGATGTCTTCCAGCAGTTATGTGACATGCGATGGTGTGATTGCTCTGATATGAACACGTAAAACATTTATTATGGTTATTTTTTAAATGACTAAATAAATCTTCTAAAATTTTTAAATTTAAATTCTTTTAAAAATACTTCTTGTAGTTGTAGATGGACACAATACCTCTATCTATCTATCTATCTATCTATCTATTTAATGTGGTACTGATAATTGATCCCAGAGCCTCACACATGCTAGGTGAACGCTCTACCCCTGAGCTACAACCCCAGCCCTAAATTTAAATTCATACAAGATAAATTTTGGTAGGTAACCAGTGATGTGATGATGCCATCCTCCGAATCAGGCAAGCCACTTGTTAAAGTTTGATAGCTTGAAACGGATCATTTTGTCAGTATTTATACTATGGAAATTGGCAAATGCTAAATGAGAGGTTTTTTTTCCTTCCTTGGAGAGCCGTGTGATGAGAACCCCATTTTATTTATCCCACAACGGCTCTTTGGGAGTCCTCAATAATTTTTAAAAGCATAAAGGAGCTCCGTGCTTAAATTTGAGATCTAAACCCCAAAGCAGTCAAGCCCTAACTGAACCTGACGCGCCCTCTGGTGGTAGAAATTAGAACGACTCTGACCATACAAGCCTGCACACCTAAAAAACCTGGGTGTGCATGTGTTTATTTGGTTGTGAAGAAGTAGCAACACAGACATAAGAGTCTCATTGGTTACATATTTTCTTTTCATTTATTTGAACACAGGAGTGTTTAAACACTGAATCACATTCCCCAGCATCCCTTTTCTCCCAAAGACAGTGTCTCATAAATTGCTTTGGGCCTAAATTGCTGAGGCTGACCTTGAACTTGTGATCCTCTTGCTTCAGCCTCTGGAGTTGCTAGGATTACAGGCGTGTGCCACAACGCCAGGCTTGATTAATATTTTTAGTGGCTTGATTTTACATTTTCATATCTCCAGTTCATTGAATGACAACATGCCA